GTGCATTTCATTGTAATACACACACCTGTTCTAAAACTTAAATTTCAATGTCATGGAAGCACTTCTCTTTAAATAGACGTAAAAATTCAAGTCAGAAAACATAATTGTTTGACTTAGTGCCTGATAGAGTAAATATAAATATATCTCCCAAGTACATAAATATCTAGTAGGAAACTTTCATTCATTATTACTATTGCTTTTACTAGTAAGAGCAACAATTTCTCGAGCTGTTACTGCATGTTAGGCATTGGGGTAGGTGTTTTATATAGACATTATTTTGTTTCCACTCTGCTGTAACAATTTTGGTGATAAAGAAATCAAGGTTTAGAATTTTTCCAAAGGTCACATAAGCAGTAAATAGTAGAACAAGATTCAAAGGCCAATTAGGTTATAGCAGTAGACTGAGTCACCCTCATTGCCATTGACCTTGACTGGATCAAGGTCAGAGCCTGGGCTGTTAACTGCTGTGCCACAGAATTCCTCTTCTACACTCTGGCCAATTTTCTGTAAAGCCAGGGATTCTTTAATATACAGAATAATTGCTCCTGATTTGAATCCATGAAAATCGTTTTTGGTATCTAGATTGAGGTTCAGCATCCCTCAATTATATTTACAATATTATTTCCAAGTAAAAACGATAAGTTTTTGTTCCCTTTTTCAAATGTTACATTTCTTACATATTTTGAAGAAGAAAAAAAAAGCTTTTTTGAGACATGTCTGCCTTATGGGATGTTAGAACTCCAAGGTGAAATACGAGTAAGAACTGCTTCTTACCTATATGCTCGGTACCTGTTCCCAATGCTTAGGCCACCGCGCATGTCATGGTGTTGACCCTCAGCTACTGTTCTCTGGTGGAGGCTGGTGGAAAAGAGCTTTAAGTGAGTGCAGACTCCACTGTAGCTACGGCTCCATCTTTCTGGACCCCATTAGTCTTTAAAAATTCTGCCCTGGCCGGTTTGGCTCAGTGGATAAAGTGTCGGCCTGTGGACTGAAGGGTCCCAGGTTCGATTCCTGTCAAGGGCATGTGCTGGGGTTGCGGGCTCAATCCCCAGTAGGGGGTGTGCAGGAGGCAGCCAATCAGTGATTCTCTCTCATCATTGATGTTTCCATCTCCCTCTCCCTCTCCCTTCCTCTCGGAAATCAATAAAAATGTATTTTAAAAAAGGAATTCATTGAAATTAGCTGACTTCTTCTTCCCCGCGCCTGTGGAACCACTGCTTCCGCCTGTGCTCTGCAGAAGCGAGGGAGTGCTGTGTTCCTTCTCTCCTTGGAGGGACGTGTCCCTGGGGCACTGCACTGCACTGATTGCCTGGCAGCAGCATCCTCCGTCCCTGGTGGCTTTAGGATGACTGACGACTCACTGACCTAGCTGGCTTCTCTGGCTGGGGAGGCGGGAGAGGCTCGCTGCTCCACATCCCAAGCAGAAGCCAGTCTGGGCCCCTCGCAGAGCCCCCTGCAGAGAGCCTTTCCCTGCGCCTTGGTGCACACTGAGGCCGGAAGGTGACGTGTCCAGTCCGTGGCAGAACTGGGGCTGGGACCCAACCGACAACTTCTCTCTACTGGCATGCAGCCTCCTCCTTTTCCCTTTTTTATTTAATTTAATTTCAGGGTTATCGCTCCCCTGTCTATGACTCTTTACTGCTGTTCTTAGCACCACTGGCTTTTCTTCCCAGGAAAGAATGAAAAAAGGACGCCAAGCCTCACAGGTCTCTGATGTGAGTCCATGGCATACAAGCCTATAGAGCAGTGGTTCTCAACCTTCCTAATGCCGCGACCCTTTAATACAGTTCCTCATGTTGTGGTGACCCCCAACCATAAAATTATTTTCGTTGCTACTTTATAACTGTAATTTTGCTACTGTTACAAATCGTAATGTAAATATCTGATATGCTATATGTGTTTTCCAATGGTCGCGACCCACAGGTTGAGAACCGCTGCTATAGAGATTACTTCCCGTCTGTGCATTAACAGTATAAAAAATCATTAACAGACATTGAAAACAGTGAGTTATAGAAGAACCAGCAGGTTCCTTGGTTTAGAGAAGGATTATTTTCAGACTTAGCTTCATATATGTGTGTTTTTTAAGCCTCGTTACAGTAACTTACTTTTTTAAAATACATTTTTATTGATTTTAGAGGGAAAGGAAGAGGGATAGAGAGGTGGAAACATCGATGAGAGAGAGAAACATTGATCAGTTGCCTCCTGCATGCCCCCCACTGGGGATTGAGCCCGTAACCCGGGCATGTGCCTTGACCAGGAATCAAACCGTGACCTCTTGGCTCATGGGCCGACGTTCACTGAGTTACACTGGCTGGGCTAACCTTATATGTTTTTACTCTCAAAGCTTGTTGGTGGTTTTCCTTCTAAACTAATAATAACTCTATTTAAGGTGCTGGGGTCATTTAAAGTAAATTCTGGATTTTACTGAAGTTTGAAGTCACCCTAAAGATTTTTCTACATTAATCACATTTTTGGTTACTCTAATAAAATTTGCTTTCTAAATTCAATATTTTCTACATTCTTAATGGGAACTAAGACTTACAAGTAGGAGGGAATTTTTAAAGTCTCATAAGCACTTGTTTTTGCAAATAAAAAACTGCAGCTCGGGTTGAGTGACTTACCGAAGCTCACATAGCTCGTGATTGGCAGAGCTGGGACTAGAACGGGTCTGGTGGCTCAGATTGGGACGAGGGGAGGCTATCAAATTTTTTTTAAAGATACATCTTCCTAGAGAATTATTTTATTCAGATACTACTTTTTTATAGAGTGAAAGGATATTTCTTTTTATAATGAAACACTAATATATTTGGAAGGAGAAAGGAAATCAACACTAATTCTTAAAGCAAAATATTAAATTTTGGAACATTCTGGGCTCAGGTGCATGCCTATTCTCTTCTGCTTGCCGGAGGGGCCTGGGGAGACGGGAGAAGCATTCTTCTCACCCACCTCCTGCCCAGTGTGAGCGCCTGCTAAGGTGATATGACTGTTGGGGGCTGCAACTTAGTTGGATTTCAATGAGAACATTCCTCTTTTGTGAGTTCTCTGGCTCTTTTCCAAGTATGGAAACACATGTAAAGTTAGCCAGTGACCCCTAGCAGCCACCATTATCTTGCCTTCCTGCCACCAGTAATGGTGTTTTAAATAACAGACTTCCCAGGGTTCTAGTTTAGGCGTGCGGGCCACATCCAAGACCTGTCCACAGAAGGAAGAAAAAGAGCACAACGTTTTACATTCCCCCCTCCCCCCTCCCCAAGAACGATAGGGCCATAACTGCTTGCTGATGCCCTCTCCTTCCCCCCGAATTATTAAGGCTACACATTGTCTCATCTGGTCACAGGACTTATTCTTCAGCTGTGATTTTGCATGTAATAGAAAGCTAGTTCTTGCTATAAGAAGCTCGGTACATTGGGACAGATCCAGTTCTGGCTAGAAATAGCGTGGTTACAAAGCTTTTCAGTGTATGTGCCAGTGAATTAACAACATAAAGATAACACGGGTCTATCACCAGATGATTGGATTCGAAGGCCATTTGCACATTAACTTCAGAAAGAGGCCTGCCTGTGCGTTTCCTCCCCCGCTTCCCCACTTGGGCAGCGTCCCATTAATTTTGTTGAAGGTTTTATTTTCTGCTAAAAATACAGGAAATTTAGACAACTCTTTTGGAATCCCCCCAAAACTAATACAAACAAGATACATATGCTTCTCTTAAGGAAACTAAAAATAAATGATTTGAAACTATTTAACTGTATAAATTCCCTCTTAAAAGGGAAAAGGAAGTTTATATAATGAGGCAACCATGAGCGCTGTTGACAGGGTAAGATACTCCCACAACTGCCAACTTGTCCCTTTGACATGAAATCACTACTTAGCACAGGACTCGCTCGGTGTTCATTACCAACCTTTACAAAAACCACCAGAACCACAGAAAACAGGACCATTTTCTCAGGGTCCTTGTCTTTACATTTGAGATTCTCTGCAATAAAGTGTGTGTGTGTGTGTGTGTGTGTGTGTGTGTGTGTGTGTTGGGTTGTTTGGGATTTCTTGTTGTTGTTGGGTTTTTTTTTGACGACAAAGTCTGTTTGACCTGGGATCCATTCCTGGAATGGAAGCTGTGTATTCTAAAAATACAATACCATGAATGAGAAAGTGCAATATTCTGCACGTATGTTGCTCTTCCACCAGTTAGCCATGACATTTGCTTTCTGACAAAGCTAGTTTTAACAGTACAGAGGAAACAATTAGTTTTTAAAAGCATGTCTTTTTATAAAACTTGGTTATTCCATAAATGTAAGTCAATTTTCCTATACACTGTCCTCTGAAGGACCTGATTTGGCTTTTTTTAAGGACCAGTTTTGTAAATTAATAGAAATGGAATTTGGAGGCTTATATTTAAGACTAAGAAATGTGATTTCTAAGTTATTAGCAGTTATAATAATTGAATTAATTTATTAACTTTCTAAAGGCATTTTTATCTTTTTTGTTCTTTTTTGTAATATGTCCAAAATTAAAATGACGTTTATCCTTTAAAATACTTTAATGTATCTGTTTTTATATTTAAAAAGCTCTCACGTGGTACTTACCATGGGTTACACACTGTTTTAAGGGCTTTATAAGTGCTACCTCACTTAATCTTTATGGAAAATAATCCAATAGCAACCTTCTTTAAATACCATCTGAGCCCTAATGAGTTTGGCCCAGTGGATAGAACACTGACCCACAGACTGAAGGGTCTCAGCTTCGATTCTGGTCAAGGGCATGTTACCTCGGTTGCAGGCTCGATCCCTGTGTGCGGGAGTCAACCAAAGGTGCCAGGGGGGAGGAGGCAGCACACTGGCGCCAGGTTCCCTTCTAGAAATTGGGAACTGGGATAGAGCTTTTATTGAAAAGAACCTGACAAAAGTATTCATAATGGCTCTTAAGTTTTATGGCTCTCATTCCAATTAAGTCTGTGTCAAGGAGTAAAACACTGACCCTGTGTGGGCATTTTCTTTCTTTATCAGGCACAAGACCTAAATGTCATTGAGGAAGTGATTCGAATGATGTTAGAGATCATCAATTCCTGCCTGGCAACTTCTCTTCACCACAACCCAAACCTGGTGTACGCACTGCTTTACAAACGAGATCTCTTTGAGCAATTCCGAACTCATCCTTCATTTCAGGATATAATGCAAAATATTGATCTGGTAAGTGTCATGGAGGTATTTATCATGGTTCTTTTTTAAGTATTAAAGTAGAGGAGTTTAATAAACCTTGATAAAAACTATAATAGAATCTCCTTAACATTAACTATAGTTGCCCTCTATTCTGCTATAACAATTGTTGCGTTCAGTGTGTGTATATCTTATATGCACAGACATATGTATACACATATATATGTTTTAATTAACATATGCACAGACATATATATACACACACATATATATTACTTAACATTTAGATCATTAACATTTTTATGTAATATCAATTCTTTGAAAATCTCACATCTTAATATATATATTATGGATATCCTAAAATATATTTAACCGTTATCCCAGATAAGAAAACTTAGATGCTGAGAGAGGATTTCCAAGTGATTTTAACACAAATCCAAGCCTAAGAAACATTGTCTTAGATACTGATTACATATTTGCTTGTGAGTTATTTACATATACACAATCTCATCTGAATCATCAACCATCCCATTGAAGCAAAGCAGCACATGAAAGGAAAAAGGTTGGCTCAAGGTCACTTAGCTAGTCAGTCACTCAGACAGACCTTAAATCCAGGTCTTCTCATTATAAACTCTGTGCTTTCAACATTCACTTGATAAACCTAAATAAGATTCCAAATGAGCAAGCTTTCCAACAACTTTTTGTTGAATATTGCCATCCAAAATAGTGCTGGGTACACTATTCTGAAATTTATTCAGAAACATTTTAAACTCTTTTTACATGTTTTGAAAAAAATGCCATGGTAGAGATATAAATAACATCTCTACTTTTTGCTTCTTTCAGCACTTTACCTTCCCTCCCCTAAATGCCCCTGAAATTTTGGCTTAAGCAAGTCTTTACTATTTCTTTTTTCATAAAGTTAACCTTGGAAAGTATTGGGAAAGGACACTATGAATCCACTGTTATTTTTAGCTGATAGGGAGTTGAGAGTTGATATTTTTCATTAAGACATTCAGCAATGTTGAATATCTGAGACAGGAGTGACTAACCTTGGAGCACTTTTAACTTCTGCAGAAGGAGTTAGACAAGTGTTTTTCAAGTGGCCAAATTTCTATTAGCCAGTGGTACGCATGCCTCCCATCTAACTCATAAGATGAAATGATCTGGCTGAATAGGCAGCAGGACAAAATAGGGTTACCACACCCAACGAGAGAAGAAATGTCATGGCTTCATATAAGTAGAGAACAGAGGCAGTGAACAATAATGGATGTGTAGTATGGTAAAGGCAAGAACTATTTTTATCTCTGCTCAGTGTAAAATTCGTGTTAGATTTTGTGTATTCCAGATCCAGCCATCCTTACTGAACTCCACACTAGTCCATTCAGTTGCCAATATGGCGGTCCTACAAATGGCAAACAAGGTTAAATCAAGTGTGATGTTCTTGAATAACAAGGGATCTACAATGTCTTGATTTGTTATCACTGTGATGCCGAATGATTTGCTAAGATATAATATTCTTTTAGTGTTTTGTGACAAATATTAAGGGACAGGATTATGTCCAGAATGTCGCTGCTTAGTTCAGGCTATGCTGTGACATGCGCAAAAGTATTTATAGCTTGCTGTTGATTATCCCTGGTGATCAGGATACGAGTGTCGTGGGAAAATTAAATGTATAAATACTGCCCAAAACACCATTTTAGCCATTAGCTTCACATTTCTTTCTTATTTTGCTTTTATATTTTTTTTAGAGTTACTATGAAGCCTCAGTATTAACAGGTTTTAAGGTTTAGCTTTCTTTTTCCACCTTCTGATAGGTGCTGCTCTCCAAATGAAATACAAATGCAAGGTGAGGCAGCACAAGAAAGAGCAGATTCAGGAGCCTACTTAATTCACAGAATGGATAGTGAGCCCTGAACATTCAGGGGCTGACTGTGACTCAGACATCAAACTCTAGAGAGAGGATGCATTTAGGAGGGCTAGTGAGTTAAAAGCCAGGTCGTATAGTTAGGATAGCTTGACGACCATATGAGAAAGGCACTATATGGAAAGACCACATGAAAATACGTCTCCTACATCTACTTGTTTAAAAAATTCCATTCTACATTCCAGGTGATCACCTTCTTCAGCTCCAGGTTGCTACAGGCTGGAGCTGAGCTCTCGGTGGAACGGGTCCTGGAAATCATCAAGCAAGGAATTGTTGCTCTGCCCAAAGACAGGCTGAAGGTAGGACTGGCAAATGAAACACACACCACTCTCTCCCTCAGACTCTACTCAGAATCAGGTCACTTACCCAGTACTTGCACTAGAAAAGGCTCCCTGAATATCACCGCTCTACTGTATACTGATACACAGACTGTGATGAAGAAGGGTTCTCACAGTTTCCCAAAGTAGCAAAAGAAGGACTGATATCTTCATCCCATTGCAGATAGTGTGAGTAATTTACATAAAGGAGCACTTATTTTTTTAACCCAGTGAAATAAATTCATCCTTCTAAGTATCATCAAGGGTTGATGGGAAGGTGAGGTGGTGATGTGACATGTGCAACAATGGCTAACACTTGGCTGGTGTTTAGTCAATATGGGGTGGGGTCCTAAGTATCTTACATAGATTAACTTATTCGATCCTCACAACACCCCTTCAAGGTAGTGGGGGTCGGTACCATTATCATCCTCATTTTTCAGCTGAGCAAACTAATGCACTGAGAAGGTAAGTAACTTACCCAAGTCATAAAACTAGAAAATTATGAAACTGATTCATCTCCAGGTAGCCTGGTGCCACAGTCCATGCTCATAACCGCCACACTACTTGCTGTATGCTTGGGTTTATCTATGGAAAGAGGAGCTTTTTATGAAAGACGTGGGGAACATTGTATTTTAAGAAGACATCTACATTGTGTGTTAGCTATGTTTCTGAAGAGATTCATGATGTAAATGCATACTTCAAGACTAATTTTCTCATAGGAAAAAAGGTAAAGGGCATGGTCTGGGGGGATGCATGAATGTACGGCATCGTACCATATTTTTCCTTTACCATATTTTAATTTTTTCCTACATTACCTTCTAAGTGTTTTCAGTACTCGGTCTTAAGTTAACAGCACAGTGCATCATAGTGGATGTTTGGCCTCTTTGTAGTGTTTTATCACAACTAGCTCTTCCAAAGTCACCATTTGGGGCTGTGTTTTCAGCGCCATCCCTAAACCACTGCTTAATGAGGGCTTGAGAGATACTGTTGTAGGATGTGAAAATGTTTCCAGTTACAATAACAGAGTGTGTGAAACAAGAGCACGTTAGTCTCATAGCCACTCACAGGAGCTCCACTGGGCGGGAACAGCAGCGCGGCGCATGCAGCGCTGAGCAATGGCAGGTATTTCTGTTTATCAGCGAAAATGGCCCCACCATGTGGCAATAGCCTAATGGCTCATTACAGTTCACCCGACACTCCGGCTTCGACTTTACTCCTGACGTTCTTTTTTTTTAAATCATTATTATTATTGTTTAAAGTATTACATGTCTCCTTTTCCCTGATTGACACCCCCTCCCCGCCACTCCTGCCCCCCAGGACAAGCCCCCACCGCCCCAGTGTCTGTGTCCATTGGTTATGCTAATATGGTTGATCTCTTTCCCCCTCCCCTGCCTTCTCTCAGTGTTTCTTAGTCTCTGGATCTATTTTTGTTCATCAGTTTATGTTGTTCATTATATCTCACATATGAGTGAGATCATGTGATATTTATCTTTCTCCGACTGGCTTATTTTGCTTAGCATAATGCTTTCCAGGTCCATCCATGCTGTGGCAAATGGTAAAAGTTCCTTCTTTTTTATAGCAGCATAGTATTCCATTGTGTAGATATACCACAGTTTTTTAATCTCCTCATCTGCTGATGGGCACTTAGGCTGTTTCCAAATCTTAGCTATTGTAAATTGTGCTGCTATGAGCATAGGGGTGCATATGTCCTTTCTGATTGATGTTTCTGGTTTCTTGGGATATAGTCCCAGAAGTGGGATTACTGGGTCGAATGGGAGTTCCATTTTTAATTTTTTGAGAAAACGCCATACTGTTCTCCACAGTGGCTGCACCAGTCTGCATTCCCACCAGCAGTGCAGAAGGGTTCCTTTTTCTCCACATCCTTGCCAGCACTTTTGATTTGTTGATTTGTTGATGACAGCCATTTTGACAGGTGTGAGATGGTACCTGACATTCTTTAAATATAGGGAATTCATACTTCCATTCTTACATTAAGTTTTTATTGGGGAGGGAGGTTGCAGTATTTCAGATTTACCTAACTAGACCATATGAAGCAGTACAAAAATCCATGAAGATTGGAGTGGCTGCTCATAGGAAGTGATGGGTCTTGGTGTCTAAACGAAGTCAAGAAGTAGAACTGTCATGAGGTCGTAAGAAAGGATCACGCAGAGGAGCCCGGGAAAGAGGGATTTTAATGAGTTCAGAGAACCAGCACAGTGGAAGTAATGGAGATCGTGATTTAAGGTCGGTGCATTTAGACAGGCAGATCGTGGTGATCACATGGTCTGGGTTTGGCCGTGAGTGGGGGCACTGAAGTGCTATGGATGTGAGTGAAAGTCAGTGTGGCTGAGCCAGTTAGTGAGCTGGAAGCCAAGGATGGGTCATTCCCATGGGCATCGTAGTCTCTTAGGATGATAAGCCATGCGGTGGAGGAAGATGGGGAGACAAATGCTCCAATCAATGGGAGAGCAGCCTGGAAGTCAGTAGGTGGCAACTACACGGAGAAAAGAAGCCGGTACCAGCCTCATATGGGCAGAGCTTTTTGCTTAATCATAGAGGATAAGAGGATCGATAGCCAAGGAACAAAGAATGAGCAGCCTCTATTTCCAAAGCATCCAGGGGAATCAGAGTCCTGAGGGCAGAGCCAGATTTCCGTTCCCGAAGGAAGGAAGGAGGATTCAGCACGGGGACTGAGAAAGGAAGAGTACTTAACCATGAAATAGAGGTCCGAAAAGGCTTTGTGGGACATGGAAAGAAGTGAAGAACAGGAGTTTGGATGCGGGGAGAGAAAGCACAAAGCAGTATGGGGAGAAGCCCTGGGCGGGGGGCTCGGTTGAAGCATCATCCCATCAACAAAAAGTTTCGGATTCTATTCCCAGTCAGGGCACAAACCTAAGTTCAGTCCCTGGTTGGAGCAGCACATATGGGATGCAACCGATCCATGTTTTTCTCTCTTTCTCTCTCTCTCAAAAAAACAACAACTATATCTTTGGGTGAAGATTTTTTTTTTTAAGTACAGGCTGACTGGAGGAAGGGGCCTAGGTATGAACCATGGACCAGTGCTGATGAGGACATGACGTACATGTTCCGTGTGAGCTTGCACAGTACATTTTTAGCAAGCATCGGCTCTGTGATGACATTGCTCTTAGTGCCTGGGCCTATTGGTGACCAAAGATTGCTGCCCCACGGGGCTCACTGTCTAGCAGAAGACAGACAATGAACAGTGAGCATATGTAATGACAGAAAGATCGATTGTACTAGAACTCCATAAGTGCTCTGGAAAATAAAAGAGCTGGGGAAGGGGGTTTGGGAATATTGGTGAGGGTGCAGTGGAAGAAAGTTGTAGAATTACAAAGAATGGTCTGGGCAACATTTAGCAAAGATAAAAAGGAGGTGAGAGAGTTAAACATGCTGACTCATACTGAGTCCCAAGCAGTAAGAACAGCCATTGAAAAGGTCCTAAGCCAGGAGAATGCCAGGCATGTTGAAGAAGTAACAAGGAGACCGAAGTGGCTAGAGCTGTATGAATGAGTGGAGTAGTAGGTGAACAAATAATGGGGGAAAGGAGGTGCAGTGAAATGGGGAACCAGTGCAAGGTTTTGAGAAGAGAAGTGGCATGATGTGGTTTATGTTTTAATAGTATTGCTCTGACTGCTATGTTGAGCCTAGACATAGGGAGACAATGAAAGCAGAGAGACCAGGTAGAAGATCATTGCTTGACTTGGATCATAGCAGTAAGATTGAAGTGCCAATAGAATTAGTCCAAGAAATCGTCTGAATTGACTGGTAGGCAGAGGAGGGCACGTAGGCCTTCTATGAAACAGCTACACTGTCTTCATTGATTACAAAAGTTCCAGGGAGTCCTGGCCACGGTGGCTTAGTTGGTTGACCGAGAGAGGTCGCTGGTTTGATTCCTGGTCAGGGCACATGGCCAAGTTGCAGGCTTAATCCCCAGGAGGGGGCATGCAGGAGGCAACCAATTGATGTTTCTCTCAAAAATCAATAGAAACATTAAAAAAAAAATTAAAAGCTCCAGGGAATGGTAGCTAGAACATGGTTCTGGCCGATTGGTTAAAGAATTGGTCTGCAAGTGTTGGAAGAGTTGTTTTTGGAAGTGGATTTGTGTGGGTCTCAAAGACAACTTTCAAATATTGGTTGGCCCAGTCTGTCATGGTTAGAAGCCTGACTCTGCTTTGCTAAATAGTGTGCAGCTCAACAAACTTTGCGTATACATGCTACTAATGTAGAAGCTGTCTGTACTAGACAATTCAGAGCAAACTTTCGGATGCCACACCTTGAGACAATCTGGAAGACTCTCAAAGAATCACCAGAATTGTGAAGGAACATGGGAAGTGATTAGAGGAACTCATATTGTTGGTATTAGCTTTAAGAAGACAAGACTCAAGCAGAAGAGGCTTGTGTTCAAGTACTGGAAGAGTTGTTTATGAAAGCAGATTTGGACTTGTTCCTTGTGGTCTCAGGAATAGGACCAGTGGGTAGAAGCTACATACAGGGACTTGCATTTCAGTTCCATATAAGGAAGAACTTTCTAGCAGATGGGATTATTTAGAGATGGAAGGGGCAACTTTTGGGAAGTGATGTGTTCATTCTCACTGCATAGAGATGTTAGGGGAATAAGCTAATGGCCACTTGGCAGGGATGCTCTTAACTGTCGGTACTAGCTGGCTAGAGTGGTGAATAGAGTAAGATTCCAGGGCTGAGTTCAGGTGCAGCGGAAAGAGTGCTGAGGTACATTAACAACGCCTGCCATTGGCCACAAGAGCAAAAAGTAAGGAGCACGTGTGTGATTACTTATCATTCCAATTGTAAAGACTCAAATATTGGTTGGGAAATCCAACTATGTGACTTTTAAGAACCTTTCCATTTCCATGAGTGTAATTCTCTTTGTGCATATACAAAATTATTGTTCTCCACAAAGCACGAAACTACATAAATTTTCATAGCAGTTTTCTCTCTCAGGA